CTTTTTTTATATATCCGAATGTTCCGAAATTTTATAGAATTAAAAATAAAAACTTAAACCTTTTTAATTAAAAACGACCTGGCAGGATCGCCAATGTGAATTTCCACCTGGTTCAAAGGGGAATCCCCCAACGCTGTAGCTTGCAGCTAAATTATTACTTACCTCTTGGAGCTCCTGGGAATGAAAGCCACGAGTTCTGGGTCTTCAAATATATGAAGCAAAGCCTACTTTGATCAAATCGACAAAGAGTGTACGTTGACTTTAGTTCCGTATACATTTCTACCGAATCATTAATACAGCTCATTTCACACTTTCTTAAGCTCATGACTGTATACCGCACAAATACCAAGATGCGGCAGAAGTTGTGATAAACGCGATGGGGAACGTCACATCGAAATACAAGCTACTTTGCGTGTATTTGGTCCTGGGTAATCTAGATCCTCACCTGCGTGTATTAACCGATAACGTGCATCTAAAGGGTGATACGGTCAAAATTTGGTCAATATCAACTTGACGTATTTCTTTCAATTTTGCATTTAAAAAACCTGAACACCCCTCATTTTGAAGGTGTGTGTGTGTGTGTAGAATGTTGCTCCTATTTTGATTTTGGAATTCACTCTTCAGTTGTCAAAATGCCGTCCAAGCAAGAAGAGCAGCGTATCAAAATTTGGCTCGCGCATCGCGAAAATCCGAGCTACTCGCACGCAAAGTTGGCAAAATCGCTAAAAGTTGCCAAATCAACTGTTACAAATGTAATTAAAGTGTTTGGGGAACGTTTGTCGACAGCCAGGAAGTCTGGATCGGGGGGAAATCGAAAACCGGAAGCCGCTGAGACGACAAAGAGAGTTGCCGGTAGTTTCAAGCGAAAACCTAACCTCTCTCTCCGAGATGCCGCAAATAAGCTGGGTGTATCGTCTACAACCGTGCATCGAGCCAAAAAACGAGCCGGACTATCGACTTACAAGAAGGTAGTGACTCCAAATCGCGATGATAAACAAAATACGACGGCCAAAGCGCGATCCCGGAGGCTGTACACGACGATGCTGACGAAGTTTGACTGCGTGGTAATGGACGACGAAACCTACGTCAAAGCCGACTACAAGCAGCTTCCGGGACAGGAGTTTTATACGGCAAAAGGAAGGGGCAAGGTAGCATATGTTTTCAAGCACATGAAACTGTCAAAGTTCGCAAAGAAATATCTGGTTTGGCAAGCCATCTGTACCTGTGGCTTGAAAAGCAGCATTTTCATAGCTTCCGGGACTGTCAACCAAGAAATTTACGTGAAAGAGTGTTTGAATAAACGTCTGCTGCCTTTCCTGAAGAAACACGGTTGTTCCGTACTGTTTTGGCCGGATTTGGCATATTGCCATTACGGTAAAAAGGCCATGGAGTGGTACGCCGCCAACAACGTGCAGGTGGTTTCCAAGGACAAGAACCCTCCCAACACGCCAGAGCTCCGCCCAATTGAGAAATACTGGGCTATTGTCAAGCGGAACCTAAAGAAGACCAAAAAAACTGCTAAGGGCGAGCAGCAGTTCAAGGCAAACTGGCTTTCTGCGACGAAGAAGGTGGACAAGGTGGCTGTACAAAATCTGATGGCAGGGGTCAAGCGTAAGGCCCGGCAATTCGGATTTGGAAAAGCGGAAGCCTAACTGAATATTTTTCGTGAATTTTATACTAATTGAACTTGAAAAAGAAATTTAATTTGATTTTTTAAATAAACGATTTCACCGATTTACACGCGTTTTCCCTTGACCAAATTTTGACCGTATCACCCTTTAATTCTGCTGCGTTAAAATAAGGACTTCCCTGGTTTTGGTGCAAATACAATATTCCGTCGACTGATTGAATACATAAAGATCTAGGAAGAAGAAGGCATCATCATCAATGGAGGAGGAACAGAATGTATAGAGGGTATTCGGATCTGTTTTCACAACGTTGAATGACAGTTATCAGAACTGACAGAGAACTTCTCGAGAAGTTCTCATTTTTGTCGCTATTGCTACATGGACCATGATTTTTTTCAGAAACGATCCGTTGCATACTTCAGAAAGGAGAACACCTGCCGAGAACATCAAAGATCTGGAAGTTGATCATGCAGAATCGATGTTTATTACGAAAATGGCCCACTAATATTTGTCTATCGAGAAGCAGTGGCAACGGGAGTGATAAGGATGGCATATCGTCTAACAAGAAATAGGTCAAGAAACGATAATAGGAATCACTACGATTGCGTTATACAAAGAATAGGGACAGAGTGTCCGATCGCAAGACCAGCTGAGAATAGCAGAAATAAAAGATAACATCAGGACAAACGCGTCGCACATAAGCAACATATCGAAGGAAATAAATAACTTGGTAACCAGTACATCTAAAATCGAGAATACGCTTAAGATAGTCAATTGGAACGTCAGGGGATGCTCGGAGGAGAGTAAACGTAACGAAATGGACTCCTACTTTCATCTGAGTGGTTACATGGCAGTAGCGCCGGTTGGAAACTAATGATTTAAAATTTGCTCACTACTTGACTAGCCTATTGGTCCCAGGTACATCTATAAGCGTACCCCATTCTAGTCGAAATTCTAGTACTACACTATGTTTGTTTTGATTCGCTATGTAAGTTTGACAGATGAAATAAGGGGTTCGTGGATTTTCCTATCTTTCGAGGGGTGCATCAATTAGCTTTGGACCGAAAATAGTGCCAGAGCTGAGCCAAAACGTTGAGCACGTTTCTTCGGGATCTTCTGGGATCTATGGTAGTAACACTTCAAGAAACATGAACAAAATTACTTCTGGTTCAATGTGAACAACAGCGAAGAACTCAGGACCGGATAGGAGGTGGTACCATAGAGGTAACTCTAAGACTAGCAGGTCCCGAAGAAACGTGCTCAACTTTTTAGCTCAGCTCTGGTACTATCTTCGGTCCCAAGCTAATCGATTCACCCCTCGAAACATAGGAAAATCCACGAACCCCTCATTTTATCTGTCAAACTTTCATAGCGAATCAAAATAATTTAAAATCGATTTGCTTGAGACCAATAGGCTAGTCAAGTAGTGAGCCAATTTAAAATCGTTAGTTTCGTATTGATTGTTGGTGGTACGGTGATTGTTGTATCAATAAGTATTTATAAAAGCGGCAAATTTAGAAAAATAAGCCTTAACGCATGTTCGTATCTATGCGATATATTTGGTGAAAAGATCTTAATAATATCGGCAGGTTGGAAGCACAGGTTGAAAGCATGGAATTTGCCAAAATATCAAGGTATATTATCGAAATACCTTCCAGACTAAAGGCCAATATTATTTTAACCGGTGATATGAATGCCCTTATCGAGAAGCAGGACTTGTCGGCAGAAGATAATCGGAACATCACCAGTTCTGTAACCCGAACGGATTAAAACTTAAAGAACTCATGCATGGTCTAAACCTGAAATACTACCTCACATTCAGCAAATCACAACGTGGAGCAATGGAAAATCGATATCGCAATTGGATAACGATTTTATTAACATTCCATGCATCAGTGTATATTTTCCATATTTTCCACCCCACCTAAAAAGCGATCATAAAATGATCACATATGTATTAAAAAGAGATACAAGAGAACTTGCTGCCAGCTATTGTCCTCGAACGACCATCCCGCGGGCTAAGAAGGCAAGATTCGACCTAGAGATGCTAAAGAATGAAGAGGAAAGGAACAAATACCATGATAAAAATCTGTTTGCGACAACGGCAAGTGATAATGTCAGCGTGGATGAAAAATGGAATAGGGTTCAATCAGCAATAACAAACGCTGCAGAGGCAGTGCTTAAAAATACGGGATCCCCACCTACTCCAAGAAGAATACCCCGTACAGACTAAGACCATAGAGGTAACTCTAAGACTAGTAGGTCCCGAAGAAACGTGCTCGACTTTTTGGCTCAGCTCTGGTACTATCTTCGGTGCCAAGCTAATCGATGCACCCCTCGAAACATAGGAAAATCCACGAACCCTTCATTTTATCTGTCAAACTTTCATAGCGAATCAAAACAAACATTGTGTAGTACTATTCGTACCCCATTACGTTAATCGATTTGCTTGGGACCAACAAGAAGAAGGCGTGTGTATATGCATTTCACCGAAAAAGTAAATAAATTTCTTGGAGAAGTCGAAAAAGAAAACGGGTTAGCACAAATGACCAAAACGTTCAGGTTAACGGCGTCGGTGGTGTAGTGGTAAGCGTGATTACCTCTCACCCCAGCAGGCCTGGGTTCAATCCCAGTCGGCGCCGCCGGGATGTTCTGAGGCATAACATCTCTGATCACGCCTTCCTTCGGATGGGAAGTAAAGCCGTTGGTCCCCGGTTCATGAGTTGATGGGTCGATAGGTAGGGTCCAGGTGTGGGAGCTGCCTTCCTGGCACGTCGGTAGCATTGGTGCTCAGCACGGAAAACAAGATCGACGGAAAAAACAAACCAAAGGAAAAAAAAAAAAAAAAACGTTCAGGTTTGCAAAACACCACAAATGTAACAAGGAAGCAAGTCGCGAAAATATATACCGCGAAAATATATAATATATATATATAGGGAACGATAAAGAAGAAACATCGCTGAATCTGCTCGAAGAAGGTGATGGACGAGAGGCAGAAGCGGATCCGACGAGAGAGGAAATTCAAAATATCATATGGACAACTAGGAACAATAGCGCACCTGGTCTGGACAACCTTAATAACGAATTGATAAAATATGGATCGGAGAGCCTAATAGATAGCATAGTGCTTGGCTCGACACAGTACAAGTACCAATCCCAAAAATTGCACATCCGCAAAGCGTGGCATTTCCAACCCGAAAGATTTCCTCGACCGAACCGTGAATCGAACCCGCCTCCTCAAGCTTGTTACTAGCATCCCTTTACAGACTAGGTTATCTAAGGCTCCGATTTGTTCTCCCATCCCTGTTAAAATATTGAATAAACTTGACTATGAAACTGTTTCGGATTGCATAAGATATTCAAACACACACCTAATCATACAAGATTAAAGCTGTTTTTTTTATTAGTGTTTATCTTATATTTACATGCTCAATGAAAGACTAATAGCTCGCTAGCTCACGTCTAATTACACATTGATTCTCTATTCGCTCTATCGCTAATGATTATTTCCCTTCTAGCTTTCCGATTACGGGCAAATTAAATGCTCATCCCCCTCATTTGATAGCCTTCTACTCTTACAGATCGTGAGCTCTACAAACCGAAGGAACATCTGATTTCATTGCACGTCGCTGCCTGCTGAAATAATCGGGATTTGTCGGCCAATTCTAGATTCTGTTCCGGCATCATGGTGCTTCCTAATCTTCTCCGTTCTATTTATTTTTTTCTTCTGACATGCTTCCCAAGGTCGGCAAAGGGGAATCTTACTTAGAGTTATTATCTAATCTATCACAGCAGTGAAGTAGTTTGAAATTGATTGCTTTTTGTTTCGTCCTCGTCTAATTGTTTGCCGTCCACTTAATCGTGTACTGTTCCACCTGTGTACATTGGATTGCTTGGCACTTAACTGCTAGTAATAATAGCAGAAGTTAAATAAGAGTCCTTATCCAAGATGTGTTTGTATTTTTTTTTAGTTGGATCATGTTGATGTATACTTGACTTAGCATTCAGCTTTAGCTTGTTTGTCTCTTTGGGAAGCGCACGTGTTTGCATTTTTATTTTTGTTCGCAACGAATTCAGCCGTGTCTGATGGCGATTTGGGAAGGAAGAAGAAGAGTCCGTTAAGCAAATAGTTTTTCCATCTGCAACCTTGAAGAAATTATATGGAAATGTTCTGAATTGTTTTGAAAATCTTTATCAATTGAAAAATAAACCTCATTCCCAAATTATTAGTCACTGGACTGATTTTCTTCGAAATCCTAGGAGACACGCTTAAGCTTCAAGCAATCAAGTGAAGTAAAGATCGATTCAATGTTTTGATGTTCAGACGTTTCTCGTGGATATAAATATGCAGAATAGACTGCCACTGGGTTTGTTGTAGTTTATAGGAAATATTTGACCACAACAAAAGTTCGTGTACCATTAAACAACGATCATTGCTTTGTTTGGAAAATTTGTCCACTGCTACAGTTTGTATTCACTGTAGCGCATACAATGTATTAGTCAAACATTAGAAATCGTCTCCCAAACATTCTCTCAATAAATACTTTCATTGCACGACAAACGCGCATGTGGCTTACCTACATACATATGTTAAAATTCCTACTTATTCGTCAACTAGCTTACTCTAACCACATAGGACTTTAAGGAGCTTTCTTGCATTACTTGACTACATATTGACCTCCCACAGTTTGAGATAGTTGTCCAGTATCTCTTCGAACCATGCCCTTTTCTGGGGCTCTTTGAATATCACGCTGAGTGATTTCAAATCTAGCTGCAAGATGGCTTCATTCTGCAGCAGTTCGCTCAATATCCTCAGCAGAGCGCCGTCCCCGTGCAGCTTCAGCAAACTGCTGTACGTGAATACATAGTACGACAACCGCAGCTTCCGAGAAGCCCATGCCTCTACAGTGGTGTTCCCGCTAGCGCACCGGATCTTGCCCATGTGCTCCACGTACCACGGTGCGAAATGATCGTACAGATCAACTTTGGACAGTGCCAAAACGCCTCGCGATTTCAGCTTCTCCTTGATATGCGCGTAGTTGCGTTTGTTGAACACAAACACCTGATACAGCGAATTTCCTGTCACGTACGAATTGATATAGTGAGTTCCGTACTTGTTCATGAACTGCACGGCCGACGTCGTATCGCCGACCGTTACCGTTTGGATCTTCCGCTGTACGTCACTTTCCAGCACCTGATTCGGCGGAATGGGCTTGGTGAATTTGGCGCTATCTCGAAACCGCGACACCCGTACCAGCACGTAGCAGTAGTCGTCCCGATCGAGGTATTTGCTTTGGATTCCTAGCTTTTTGGCAGCGATTTCCGTGTGCCAGCCTTCGGTGTAGGCCCTCCACGGGCTGTCTAGTCGTTCGATTTGAAAGTCTCTGAAGTACGCCTGAAACAGTTGGCGTTTGTTGTCGCAGAACTCCATATGAAAGTCGCCATTGAAGACGCCCGGTTTGACCTCGTACTCTTCGGTCTTCACTTGGTTGAGGCCCTGCAAAATGGAAAGAAGACAGGCAATTTAATGTCAAATCAATGAAATTGTAGCAATTGATTTCCCCTATCCATATTCAAATGGCAGCGTTGGTAACGCTCTTTAGAGCATCGGTCATTCTTTTTAATAACGGGTGTTCAATAAAAAAATGAGAATGATTTCAGTGGCCATTCCTGCTCCCGAGTAACTATTCATAAGCAGAATAAACTGTTTATTACTTTCAGTTTAAAGCATCCATTAAACGCAAAAACTACTAATCCGCTATTACTTGGTTTACAAGCCATACGATTGCATGACAAGTGCCGTTCAAATGCTGCAACTCAGACGCTTTTCCAAAATATAAATCTCTAAGTCGTGATTCCAAGGTTCATTATCAGCGCCAAAAATAACGAATTCAGAAAACACGGCAGAACTGTTCAAGTTCAAAAGAAGGAAAAATCATCATTGAACACCTAGGTAATTCTCAAAAGTTGTTCAAACGCGAAAAACTATTTAAAAACAACCCATGAAGCTTCAAAGTTAAAAAAATAGCCATGCTTGGTAAACCTTTACTTTAAATTTCATACGCAAATCTTAAAGGGTGTCCCACATCAAATTGCATCACGGAAAAAAACGCTGTAGAAAATTATCCATTGGGTACTTTCTCTTGAAAATTTGGGTAGAAGTGGTTTAGAGTGTATTTTTATTGCTGTCAGTTTTTCGAAAGTTGGAAAAAAATGGTGTCACCCGAAAAGCAACGTCGCGAATTGATTTTGCGCAAGCACCTGGAAAATCTTCAACTCTCTCATCGGGACATCGGAAAACAACTCGGAATCGTGTTGTCAACGGTGAGTCGTGTGATTAAACGTTACTACAAAACTCTGAGCATCGAACGGAAGGAGAAATGCGGTCAGAATGGATGTTCTATTATTATTATTATTATTATTTATCTTTATTAGGGAGGCTTTGAGCCATGTTCTATTAGTGATCACAAGCGTGCCGTGAAAGCGTTTAAGCGGAATCCCAATGCTTCGGTCAGGAATGTGTCTAAGTCTTTCGTTCAGAGAGCTAAGGACCGGGAGGGACTACATACGTACAAAGTGCAGAAGGCTCCAAATCGTGACGAACGGTAAAATACGGTGGGAAAGTCACGGGCCCTAGCGGCGCCGGTGGTGTAGTGGTAAGCGTGATTACCTCTCATCCCAGCAGGCCTGGGTTCAATCCCAGTCAGCGCCGCCGGGATGTTCTGAGGTATAACATCTCTGATCACGGGAAGTAAAGCCGTTGGTCCCCGGTTCATGAGTTGATGGGTCGATAGGTAGGGTCCAGGTGTGGGAGCTGCCTCCTTGGTGCCGGTAGCATTGGTCAGCACGGAAAACAAGATCGACGGAAAACAAAATCAAGGAAAAAAAAGAGTCACGGCCCCGGAAACTATACACCCAGATGCTGACGAAGCCTCATTGTCTCATCATGGATGATGAGACTTACGTCAAGGCGGACTTCCAGCAGCTTTCGAGGCTACTGTTCTTCACCGCCCAGCACAAGTTTGATGTTCCGGAGGAAGTAAGGAAGCAGAAACTTTCAAGAAATACATGATTTGGCAAGCGATCTGCTCTTGTAACAAACGGATTGCGTCGTTTGTGACTACCGGGACTGTAAACGGGGAGATCTACCTCAAGGAGTGTCTACAGAAGCGTCTGCTTCCTCTGTTGAAGCAACACGAGGGCCCTACGATCTTCTCGCCGGATCTAGCTTCGTGCCACTATTCAAATGTTGTCCTGGAGTGGTACGAAGCCAACGGACATGAACCCCCCCAACGCACCGGAACTAAGCCCCATCGAAAAATACTGGGCTATTATGAAGCAGGCACTACGGAAGCATCCCAAGGAGGTCAACTCTGAGGAAGACATGAAGAAAAAGTGGGTTTCCGTACAGAAGAAGCTGCAGCCAGAACCTAATGAGTGGGGTTAAGCGTAAGGTGCGAATGAACGGTTATGGTATGGAAGTTGAATGAAATAAATATACCAAAAGCTTACTAATGAGTTATATTTTATTGTCTGAAATTTTGAAAAGTATCGGTCAACTAGGTAATTTTCTACAGCGTTTTTTTCCGTGATGCAATTTGATGTGGGACACCCTTTACTTTCTCATTATCATGTCGATGTTGTCCATTTGTCAACTTGTGTGCACCGCTTTGCTCGATTGGGACAGCTTTTTTCAGTTTTGTGGTGACAGTCGTCCATACTTTAACTAGAGGGCTTTAATGTCCAGTGGTATCGCTTTTTACTACTAATAATAGTCAAACATTGTTATCATCCTTGTCAAACCCATTGAAATTTTATTCCAACGCCAGCCCTAATAAAAAATAACCATAAACGAACGATAACCCAAATAATTGAACTTTTCCACTAATGGTTTGGAAGATACCCAGAACACGTCGTTAAGCAAAATAACCATAACAATTTTATTAGGGAGTGCCGTACTAGTATTTTTGTTTAGGTGATAATTTTCAGTTTTGCGTCCCTACCCTTGGCTCTTCCATTCCATAAGGGTACCCAAACAAATTCTCACTATTATGCCTGCTTCTTCTGACATGAAGTGGTCTCGGTACTGACAGCAGTAGAAGGAATGATTGAAGGATAAACTGAAAGGCAGCCGAACAATTTTCTCTACCGAGGGAGAACACGATTGAATGAGTAAAAACCGATCGCTAACGATTTAAATAACCGAGACAGATAGTTTTTGGCTCACTGATTTAAATCAGTTGAATCTCTTCCTTCCGGAAATTGAACAATTATAGTTTCAAAATACTTTAAAGTATGTGCCAAAATTTATATCCAATCATCCAAGAAGTGATCAGTGTCGATTTTGCGTCGGTCGTTGTGTTTTTTCCTTTATTTGGTTGATGATCCGGTCAAAATCTTTCGGAGGCCGTTTGCCCAACCTGCTACCAGAACCAAACATCAAAGTGCACAAGTTCACAAGCTGCTTATTCATCTCTGTCTACGGCTCTTTGTGAGACAACTGGCTCTGATCATCGCTAACGTGCAATCTGAAAATGTACACTTGAAGGATCGGGGCTGGTCTTTTTCACGATGCGTGCACAGTAGACTGATGCAAAATTTGAAATTTTCGCTCAAACGGCTTCAAATCAGGCCCTGATTAGCCTCCGAAAGTTTAAACTCATTTGATAATTCCCATATAAACTTGAAATGGTTTGTGCCAAGTCAGTTTCTTACTAAAGTAGTTCAAATTTTGGGAGGCTAAGCAGGACCCAATTTGGAACCGTTTGAGCACTGTGGAGCGAAAATTTCAAATTTTACATCAGTCTAGTGCACAGAGTGACATGAAGAAGAAAAGTGATATTTAGTTATTGTGTGGTTGATAATCTACTGCCTTTGCCTCCGACACTTGAAAAACAAGCTATCATAGTACAGTAACAAACTAAAATGTCATATGACAGGCCCTCATAATGAGAGCTGCTGATGTTGTGCTTGTGTGAATTCTGAAAATAGCAAGCAATGATGCCCGAGTTATAACATTTCTTATCAAAAATTGTTTGATTTACACCAAATTGAGGAATTAGAACGAAATCGCACATGTCATATGAAAGTTATTTGGTAATTTTCTTTTGACAAAGGACTACGTGTGTGATTTCTATATGGGGGTACACTTTGTGAAAACCGAAAATCGAACATGTAGCAAAATTATGAAAGATTTTGAACATTAATAACTCAGCTGCCCCTGGAACAATTTCAATAGTTTTATCACCAATCGATCATAAATATTTTTACGCATCAATAGCAATGCTTCCGACTGATGATTTCCAACAAGAAATTATTGAAAAAGTGGTAATGTAAAGCCTTTGTTTTTGGTTTGTTTTTTTCCGTCGATCTTGTTTTCCGTGCTGAGCACCAATGCTACCGACGTGCCAGGAAGGCAGCTTCCACACCTGGACCCTACCTCTATCGACCCATCAACTCATGAACCGGGCGGACCAACGGCTTTACTTCCCATCCGAAGGAAGGCGTGATCAGAGATGTTATGCCTCAGAACATCCCGGTGGCGCCGACTGGGATTGAACCCAGGCCTTCTGGGGTGAGAGGTAATCACGCTTACCACTACACCACCGGCGCCGTTTATGTAAAGCCTTGTTCAATGTACAAAGAAAAAGTGATAATTTGATCACTGTTTTCATGAAATAAACATTCTTCCCAAACCCAGTCGTCATAATCGAGTACCGCTTGCACATCATTCTGCTTGAACCTGAAAAATAGATATAAAAGAGCGCTGTGTCTAGCCTCAACTCATTTTTGCTTCGGACGGCGTGGTGAGCAGGCAGCAGAAGCATTAATAGCAGCAGTAGGATGGTGATGGCAGGTTAGGTAGTCCACTCATCTACCCAACAAGCAAAGGTCGTGGTCGTGGCAAAGGAGGAAAAGGTCTTGGTAAAGGAGGCGCCAAGCGTCATCGCAAGGTTCTTCGTTCTTCGCGATATCAAACGTATCTCCGGTCTGATCTACGAGAAAACACGAGGTGTGCTGAAGGTGTTCCTGGAAAATGTGGTCCGTGTTGTTGTCACCTACTCTGAACACGTTAAGCGTAAAAAGCCCGTCTACGCTTTGAAGCAACAGACGCACTCTGTACGGTTTCGAAGGTTAATGGGATGTTTACACCTGTGCGGATTTTCTAGCGCTAGTGCACTGAAAATGCTTTTTCTAAATTAGAAATATTGCTTCCATATTGTAGCTTAGGGTATTTCCGTTGATATCGTATATAGCTTTTATATAGTATGTGTTACATATTTTACAAACATATTAAAACACAATTTTCGTATTTTTCGCCTGTTTGAAAAAGCACTCAAACCATCACTTATGAAATGTGTTTCCGATATAGCCATCACAAATTTCAAGTTGTATTCTTATTGTCTATGATGTTTTCTGATTATAAACTCATTCAAAGTTTCATATTTAAAGAACTAAAATGTTTGAGATTCACGCATTTTTTTTTCTACATTCATC